GGTGAAAGAATACAACCCTGGCACACATCTTTCCTTATTTTAAACCACTCTGTGCCCCCTTAGTCTGTTCAAATGACTGCCTCTTGGTCTATGTACAGGTTCCTCATTAAAACAATTAAGTGTTCCAGAATGCTCATCCTCTGAGATGTTGCCCATAGTTTGTCATGATCCAAACAGGTGGAAAGCTTTTGCATATTTAATAAAGCACAGGTAAACATCTTTCTGGTATTCTGTACTATCAGCCAAGATCCATTTGATATCATCAGTGATATCCCTCATTCCATGTCCTCATCTGAATCAGGCTTGAACATTGGCAGTTTCCTGTCAATGTATTGTTGCAGACATTTCTGAATTATATCTAGCATATTTTTACTTCCATGGGATGTTAATGATATTGTCTGATGAGTTCCTCATTCTGTTGGATCACCTCTCTGTAGAATGGGCACAAATATGCATCTTCTTTCAATCAGTTGGGCTAGGTAGCTGTCTTCCCAATTTGGGGGCATAAAGGAGTAAATGCCTCCATTGCTGCATAAGTCTGAAATTTTTCAGTTTCTGTTCCATCAATCCCTAAAGTGTTGTTCTTTGCCAATGCCTTTAATGTAGTTTGGACTTCTTCCTTCAGTACCATTGGCTCTTGGTCATATGCTACTTCTTGTTTCTGTTTGGTACAGTAACTGTATTCTTTCCACCTTCTTTTGATGTTTTAGCATCATTCAATATTTTGCTCAAAGAATCTTTTAGTATTGCAAGTCAAGGCCTGAATTTTTCCCTCCGTTCTTTCTGTTTGAGAAATGCTGAACATATTCTTCCCTTTTGATTTTCTAACTCCACTCTTTACACATTTCATTATTATAATATTTGACTTTGTCATTTCAATCTGCCCTTTGAAATACTCTGCTTAGCTCTTTTACCTCCTCATTTCTTCCATTTACTTTAGCTTTACACTGGAGAGCAAGTCCCAGAGTGTTTTCTGACATCCATTTTGGTCTTTTCTTTCTTCCTTGTCTTCTTAATGACCTTTTGTATCTATCTGTTTGATATTCTTGGTGCCACCCCACAACACTTCTGGTTTTCAGTCCAATGATTCAATCGATTCTTGAGATAATCTCTAAATTCAGGTGATATATGTTCAAGGTCATATTTTGGCTCTTATGGACTTGCTTTAACTTTCTTCAGCTTCAGCCAAATTTGCACTTGATGATCTGTTCCATTGTCTGCCCCTGGCTTTGTTTTGGCTGATGATATGGAACTTTTCCACGATCTCTTTTCCACATAGTCAATATGATTTCTGTGTATTCCATCTGGTGATATTCATGTGTATATTCATCTTTTATGTTGTTTGAAAAGGGTATCTGCAATGGGTCTTGAAAAATTCTATCATGTGATCTCCAGCATTATTTCTGTCACCAAGGTCATATTTTCCAACTGCTGATCCTTCCCACTTTTTTCTAACATTTGCATTCCATTCTCTAGTAATTATCAATACATCTTGATTGCATGTTTGGTCAATTTCAGACCAAAGAAGTTGATAGAATTTCTCAATTTCATCATTACTGGCTTTAGTGGTTGGTGCATAAATTTGAATTATAATTGCATTAAGTGGTCTTCCTTGTAGGCATTTAAATATTGTCCTATCACAGACATTATACTCAGAATGGATCTTGAAATGTTCTTTTTGATGATGAATGTGACTTCATTCCTCTTCAATTTGTCATTCCTGGCATAGTAAACCATGTGGTTGTCAGATTCAAAGTAATCAATACCAGCCCATTTCAGCTCACTAATGCCTAGGATATTGATGTTTATGTGTTCCATTTCATTTTTGACAGCTTCCAGTTTTCCTAGATTCATGCTTCATACATTCCATGTTCCAATTATAAATGCATGTTTGCAGCTGTTTATTCTCATTTTGTGTTGTACCCCATCAGCAACTGAAGGTCCTGAAAGCTTTACTCCATTCTTGTCATCGCGATCAGCACTACTTTGAGAAAGCGTCTCTTTCACAGTCGTATTTTGTGTCCAATCTGAGAGGCTCATTTTCCAGCACAGTATCCGATGATATTCTGGTGCTTTTCATCATATTTCATTATTCAATTTTCTGCTGTTATGTAATAATGTTACACTGCTATTCATATGGTTTCCAGTTGCTAAATATTCCTAAGTAGTCCACCTCTCCGTCTTCCAGACACGTGGTGGAGTATCCTTGATGTCATCCCACAATTCAGCTGGTGTTTGGTCATTAGTTTTCAGTGTGTCAGATGGCATCTAAATTCAGAAGAGATATACTCAAAGTTTTGTTTTGGCTCTTGTTGACATGTTTTAATTTTCAGCAGCTTCAACTTAAAAATGTGTATTGGTAATTGATGGTTTGTTCCACATTCAGCTCTTGGCTTTGTTCTAACTAATGATATTGAGCTTCTCCATTGTCTCTTTCCACAGATTTAGTTAGTTTGATTTCTGTGTGTTCTATCCTGTAAAGTCCATGTGTATAGTCACTATTAATATTGTTGAAAAAAAGATATTTCCAATGAGTAAGTTGTTGCTCTCACAAAACTCTACAAAGCAGTTTTCATTGTTACCATCACCAAGGCCAGAATTTCCATCGACAGATCCATCTTCCTTATTTTCTACCTTCATATTCCAATCACCAATAATTATTAATGCATTTTGATTGCATGTTTGATCAGTAGTTAATAATGTTACCAAATAGAAAAGACTAGAATAGTGAATTGGAATTTTGTTAATTGGCTGAAGCTTTCCACTGATGTTCCATGAAGAGACTGAGCAGGGGGTAAGACAGATTAGGAAAATCAGTTTAAATGTGAGATTCACCACTGAGAAATGGGAAGGCAGTATTTCTTCTCCATTGGGAAGTTATCAAATTTGAGAATAATTTCTTTGGGAAAAAAAATGCCTTTGCTCTTTCCCACACCCCTAATCTTACTTGGTTTTGCAAGCATTCCCATGATACAAGAGAATTATAAATTCAGTTTGTATCTCCCTTAGCCCAGCCTCCCTTTGTTATACCACTTTACTGCTTCTTTAGGGCTGAGACTCTAAAATTTGGGTCAACTGTTCCATTAAGTTAGAATACACTACACTCCTGTAGCACTTTTCCTCTTTAAAGCAGTTTACAAACATGTCCTCCTTCACTAATGAAGATGAGTTGGGTATCTGTAGTATCTAAAACCAAAGCTATTTAATCATTATGTGGGAAAGTGAGGCAAAATGCAGGAACAACAATAAAGTATATTACATTTTAAACTTGCTTTTAAAAACAAACTTAAAAAAAAATTTCTTTGAACATGCAGGCAGAACTCAGGCCACAAAATTCCAGCTTTTCTAATGAAAATACCAACATTCATTCTTTAAAAAGTTCCTTTATTCTTCTCTTCTTTCTTTGAACTCTGTTCCATTCCTTCAGAACAGGCTTTTTCTACTATGCCTTCGTTTGTCTTTATTATCATTCCTACTCTTCATTTTCTCTTTCCTTAGTATTTCTACAAGCATAAAACAATCAAAACATGGCTGATAAGGATAATCCTAGTTACTCTGTATTTATCAGATTTAAAACCATTCGTTCTGATAGAGTACCAAGTGTCTACATTTTTAAAGGAGTCTTTATGTCCAAAATCATCACAAGTCCTCAGGTCTCACATTTATAATCACTTGCTTTTTACAATCAGTCTTTGCTAACTCCTTCTTCATTTACATCCTTCAGAACATCTTAAATGTCACTTCCTGCAAATCTCTCACTGACATCCCCAGGCAGACTCCATCACCCCTGCTGAAGTCTCCTCACAGAACTTTGAATGCACCTCCCTATGAGACTTTATCACATGTCTGTTGCAGCAGACTGCTTACATCTCCCACCAAATCAACAGTTGTTTTCTGTTTGTTCCTCGGATTTTATTTTGTTCTTATGTCTCTAACAGCTAACATATAGCCTCATCTGGCACACTGCAAATGCACAATTTTGTTGTTGTTGAATGTTGATGATTTAGTTAATTGAATGATCATGCTACAGACAAGAAAAAAAGCAGCTTCTTCTTTATTAAATTTTTCTTCTGCTTTCCACTATTCTTCATTGGAATTTTAAGTGTCATTTTTTTAGATGTTTTATGAGTTTTGTAGATTTTTGCTGGCAAAACTGAATATCTACATTCAACTTATGAATTTTTTCTTTGGGAAAATACGTTTCCTGTTTCAAAATAGTCAAGCATACAAAAAATAATACAGTGTGTTGTTTTTATTTTTTCCCTAACAGCTCAAGCTCTCTTCTTTCCTAGTACTTCACATAATGTATGGAGGTGGGAAAAAACACCTCTACATGTCTTTTTTTTTTTTTTAAGCCTCTTTCACCCTCTCTTCTCTGATTCCTGCCCCTGGCTCTGGCCCGCATAGTAACACTGCAATTAAAATCTTACCTCTGTCTCTCCAGTCTTCCATGGTTCACATTTTTGTTTTCTGCCATGTCCTGTTCAGTCAGGCTTCCTTGAATCCATTATTTACGTCAGTGTTTTGCCCCTGTTGAATATGATTCTTAGAGAGTAACCACTATGCCGTTTTCATTGTTACTGCCTCACAATGGGTTTCAAAGTACAGCATATAGAGTAGGTGCTCAATAATTGTGAATTAAAATCTTTTTTTCACACTTAAAAAGTGCACAGATTTAAAAGAGAGGAATGTTGACATTTGATGGGTTATTTCCGTTCTAAGTAGGAACGACTCCTAGTTATCTGTATATGCCAACTGAGCTCAAGGCAGACAGTGCCCAAATTCATTTGTAATAGTCATTCTTCTCCCACTTTTCCATCTTTTATTCTTTTCACAGATAAAGAGAAATGTGATATCATGCCAAAAAACCATCCTTTTTCAACTTTATGGTTCTGATCTGGGTGCTTCATTATGTTTCAATTATTCAGCACTCTAATGAGCTTCCAAGTACAAAGCAATTGGGTCATCTGGTGTTAAAAGTGCTTGTTTTCTGCTTTCAGGTTATAGTGGGGGATGTGTTGTCATGCGAGGAAGGACTCCACCTGGTCGCTGGGAAGTGAGGGACTGCAAGCACTTTAAAGCAATGTCCCTGTGCAAGCAGCCAGTTGAAATTCAGAAGAAAAACGAGCATGAAGACAGATGGCCTTTTCACCCCTGCTATTTGGGCTGGGAGTCAGAGCCTGGACTGGCCAGTTGTTTCAAGGTGATTCCAAGATTACATGGATATTCTCAGCAGGACCAACTTCACTGAAATGCAGTCCATGTATTCCCAGCCCCTTTATTCCAGCACATAACCTGGCACACAGCAATTTGTTGGCTGTCTGGCACACAATCAATGTTTGTTAGATGTTGCTATTCTATCAATTATACTGCAAAATAATTTGTATTCCCCAAAAAATTACCTATCCCCCATGATAGTGAATGAGGATTGATATCTAGGCCAAATCAATATTATTCTTATTTCCAAGTATCTACCAAATGAATGAGGTAGACATTGCTGGATATTAAAATGGTACAATTCCATTTTGCTTGTAAACAAATGCATAAAGTCCTTGTTAGGCAACGAGAATGTTCTGCTGTTAAGGACAGATTTTAGGTCTTGCCTGGCATTTGAAGATCAAGCAAATTAATATGTACTATTTATACACACACACACACACACACACAAAGAGTCTTGGAAGTAGAGTGGTTCAGTGCTCAGCTGCTAACCAGAAAGCTGGCAGTTTAAACCCACTCAGGGAGTCCTTGAGAGAAAGTCCCAGTGATCTGCTTCCATGAAGATGATAGCCTAGAAAACCCTATGAGGCAGTTCTTTGTCTCATGAATCTCTATGAGTGAGAACCAACTCAGTGGCACCCAAAAGCTACTATAGTCACACACACACATCTATCGATATAATCTATGAAGAACTGTTTATTTGAAAATCAACTTCAGAATCCTAGATTTTCAGTCAGTTCCTATAATCTTGACAGAAAAAATAAGATAGTTCTATGTTTGTGTTCTTATCTTGGTTTCTTTTACAATAGAAATTCCCCCCAAGTCCTGAGAGAAAGCCCTTTTCTATGTTGGGCAGGACTCTTCCACACGCAGGGCTGACAGGACACAGTCCAACTTGACATGCCAGTGTCTCTCAGCAGACCCTTAATCTAAATGTATATAATCCCACACCAAGTTCAAAAACTAACAGAACTAAATGTGACCTCACAGAGTCATCAGTTAATCCTTAAGAATGAGTAAACTGAGGCTAGTGAAAATGAGGTGATTTACCCAAGATCACAGTTATTTATTGAGAGAGAGGAAATAAATCTCTGGTCTTGGGAGTCCCACTCTAGTGCTTTTCCTGCTTTATCACCTTTATATGTCAACAAAAGCATGGTGTGTTTGATAGGCGTGGATAGTAGGATTTATGAATTTAGAGTGATTCGGGAAGAGGTTCCCAGAGGAGGTGAGTTTTGACATATCATTTAAAAGATGGAGAGGCTGTGCTGTGGTCTGCAGGACTCAGAAAGCTGTTCATTCTGTCTCAGAAAATCAGAGTCTGGGAAGACTGGTACAAAGTGGCTTAGTGCCGGGAGGTTAAAATTGTGGGTATAGAGGTTAGGGGTTAAGATTAGGAGCTCTGGGTCTTCAGGCCTTCACTCCCATCATAAATGAAGCCAAAAAATAGATGCTACATTTGACTGATTTCATGCCGCAGTGAAGCTAGCTAAGAAGCAGAACAGAGGATTTCTGGCACAGGTGAACAAATTCCCCTGTATCTGCCAGTTCAGCAAGGAACCCAGAAATATACCTGACCCTTAGATGCCAGGTCTCATTCCTTGCAAAAGGTTCAGTCAGATTCATGGTCATTCAGCCAATTCTCATTTGCCAGAATGTGAGGCAGAAATGCATGGATTCTGGAAACACAGAGTTCCAGTTCTAGTCCTGGCTCTGCCACTTTGTAGCAGTGTGACCTGAAATCCTTAGCCTCTCTAAGCTAGAGTTTCCTTGACACGCATTTACTAAGAAACAAGTATAAGTCAGCTAGAGGTGACTTATGTACCAAAAATAAAATAAGAAAGTCCTTCAGGAGCTTACTCCTTTATAAAATTGAGTTCATTTATTATACCCCTCATGAATTTGCTATGAGGATGAAATGGAATAATAGTTTTACAATATCACGGCACCTTCTAAGGAGACCTGAAAGTACAATGGTTAAGTTCTGGGCCACTATGCAACAGGAATTGTTTGAATCCACCAATTGCTCTGCAGAAAAGAGCTGGAGATCTGCTCATGTAAAGATTTCAACCCTATGGTACAGTTCTACTCAGTCTTACAGGGTCACTATGAATCAGAATCAATTTAAAGGCATATGTTGTCATTGTAAGTGCTGTTGAGTCGGTTTCCACCCATAGCAACCCTGTATAGGATTTCCGAGGAGCAGCTGGTGAACTTAAACTGCCAACCTTGCAGTTCAAACCGACTTTGCAATCCAGCACATTAACCCACAACACCATGCCAAGAGTGGAATTTGAACCCACACCTCTATCTGGATGCCAAAAGCCCCAACAGTGGGAAGCAAAAGCTTGAGTCTGGCGCCTTAGACCCCTCGGCCATGCTGACACATTAAAGGCATATGTTGTTGTTGTTGCTGTTGTTAAGTGTGGTTGAGTCAATTCCAACTCAGAGCTACCTTGTATAGGGTTTCCCAGGAGCAACTGGTGAGCTTGAACCTCTGACCTTGTGGTTCAAGGCTACTTTGCAGTCCAGTGCATTAATCCGCAGCGCCACAAAATTGTCACGCTTTTCATACGCAATAATAACAACAGTTATATTACTGTTATTTTCCTGTCCAGAATTAAATGTTGTTGTTAAAGTGCCATTGAATCCGGTTCTGACTCACAACGACCCTGTACAGGGTTTCCTAGAAGCAGCTGGGAGTTTAAAGCACCTACCTGTAGTTCTCAGTCCAGTGTGGATCCTACAGCATCACACCTGAACAGACTCACCTTATCAATGACAGTGTTCTTTCTTATTCTTTCCTATGTAGGTATTTCATAGTGAAAAAGTCCTGATGAAAAGAACATGGAGAGAAGCTGAAGCATTCTGTGAAGACTTTGGAGCTCACCTGGCAAGTTTTGCCCATATTGAAGAAGAGAATTTTGTGAATGAGCTCTTACATTCAAAATTTGATTGGTAAATACTTGTTAATATTGAAAAGTTACAATCAGATTTTCAGTCTCCTGGTAATAGCTTCTTAGGGGTGAGTAACCTAAATACTTGCTCAAAATCCTAAGTATTTTTTTAAAGCCTAAAGCCAACTAGCCACTGTTTCTGAAGGAAAAAAATATGTACATATAGTTGTATAGTTATAGTGTACCAAGTCCTCATTTCATAGAACAAAGGGACAACTGATTGATATTTGAAATCTTTTCAGTATGCCTCAAATCATATTTCCAGATTTTTTTATGCCAACCTTAGATATTATCTAGCCTAATGGTTTCCAAAGTGTTGCCTCAAGAACCCGAAGTTTCATGGAATTTCAACAGCAGGAAGGGATCTAGTGGGCATAGCGCCAGTCAGCTCACCTTCTAATTATTCTGTACATAATAGCTGTTAGGTAAGATTTTTCAGGACAAGAGGAGTCCCACTGAAATAATAAAAAACTCCACTCCAACCCCTGAATTTTACATTTAAGGAAATAGGGGTTCATTACCTGTCTCCATCTTGCAAGTTTACAGAATTTTGAATTCCATGGATTTTTTAAAAACCTTTAGTTTAAGTTGGAAGGAAACCAAGAGGCACGGTGCTGCTTCCAGCCCTCTGCAGGAATTCCTTTCACCACATTCCTGTGGTCATCTACTGTCTACAAAATTCCTTCCACTTTCATAGCCTTCCTGAGAAGGGAGAAAGCTCATTCCATTGTTGGAGGATCAACTTTGTATAAAGCTAAATATCTGCCTCCCTCAGTTTGGAACCAGAACAATACAGATCACATTTGCTCTGTTTTCAAATATTTTAAAGAGAGCGATCCGTCATGCCTCCATTTAATGAGTTCCCTACCTCTTGTCATCTCTCTCTAGAATGTTCTTGTCAATCAGCATACATATTGGAAGAATATTCTCAGAAAGGGACACTGTTACATGAACAACTGGTTGGAGAATCCAAAAGACCTAACAGGCCAGATTTTCCTCCTGGGGATGTTGTAGTTTAAGAAAGGCTTGCCTCTTTAATGCCACACATTTATTTAATATGAAGCAGATGTAGTATCAGGTATTCTTCTTCAAGCTGTGGGAATCTTGGTAAAGCACTAGCCTGGATCCTGAGACAAATCCAGAAGTAATTCTTAAGGGAAATCCAGGCCTTCCCCCTATGTTTCTTTGTAGAACACCCCATAACAAGGTCAACTTGTAACATCTACCAAATGATTGCCGTACAGAATCTACAAAAGCCACCTTAAAGGTGGGAGTCTGTGACAACCTCTCCCATTGTGTGTCCCATTGAGTACTCTGCGAAGAAACAAGTCAAATAAGTTTGCAAAGCATTGCACAATCTTAGAAATTTGCCATGTAACATTATAATACTGTGTGTTTACATTTTAGCATTGTAAAGACTCTCAGAAAGAAACACTTTCTTTAGTCACAAAACCTTGTTTTTGAATCACTTATTATTAGTCCATGCTTCAGCAGTTGCCTCTAGGAATGCTAACCTGAGACCTTGGCTCTCAGGCCTGACTTACCATCATAGTCACTTGCAACACCCTTTAAGTCAGGGACCACTGGTTTCACATCAGAGCCATTGAATCAGACTGAAAAGAAACTTCCTGGTTAATTGGATTACTAGCCAGATGGGGGATCACAAAAACCAAGTGATGTGATAGTCTGTATTGGTCTCAATTGTAACTTTACTTCATTACTTTGTTGTTTTGTACAAGCAGATTTCAATTCATAACCATCTTCCAGGACAGACTAGAACTGCTCCATAGGCCACAATCTTTATGGAAGCAGACCACTAGGTCTTTTGTCCCGTGGAGTCACACTGATGACATTTAACCACTGCTCCTTTTTATTACTTTACCAAAATCAAAACCAAATCCACTGACGATGAGTTGATTCTGACTGATAGTGGGCATTTGTAGGGTTTCTGAGACTGTAAATCTTTATAGGAACAGAAAGCTTCCTCTTTCTCCCAAAGCAGCTAGTGGATTCGAGTTCCTGACCTTGTGGTTAGCAGCCTGACATGTAACCCACTATGCCACCAGGGCTCCTCTTCATTACTTTGTTGTCATTGTTAGATGTCATCGAGTCGATTCAGACTCATAGCAACTCTGTCTGAGTAGGGTTTTCAAGGCATAGCTGATGGGTTTGAACTTCTAACTTAGAGATTACCAGTACTTATCCTACAGCGCCACACTAGGACTTTAGCCCTTTGCAAAACATATTTGCATATTGTGATCTTGGATTTTAGTAGGTTTTACTCCATGAACCCAACCACATAATGGAAACTGTTGTGTTTGCTGTGAAGATCAAATGTCTTTTCCCTTCAAACATAAAATGTCTAGTAGAATTTTGTGCTAAGCATCTATCTAACAAGTTGGAATCTTGGTTTGGCACTGCTGGTTAATATGCTAGACTGCAAAATTGCTTTGAATCACAAGGTCAGCGGTTCAAGCTCACCAGTTGCTCCTCAGAAACCCTATACGGGGTCACTATGAGTCAGAACCGACTCTATAGCACTTAACAACAACAACAACAATCTATCAAATTATTTATCTTCAGCATCTTATAATAAAAAATAATCAAATGTTTGTTGAAAATTTCTATTATTTTTTAATTCCATTTTTTCACAAACTTTTTGAAGCCCCTTCATATATACTTTACTTTTTTGCCCAAACTGCCAGGAAGTTCAGTCAAATCTCATGCTTAACTATAGCAAATATACCAATTCTCACAGTTAACATGTATACTTCTCCCCACTTTCTGTAGCACTGATTTTCTGGGGGGTTTGATTTGGTTTTGATAATTTTTATTATGAATGAAGGTTTTTGTTTGGTTTTGGTTTCGATACTTTTTATTATGAATTGAATGCAGGTTTACAGAGTCCATCATCAGTTTTACATTCAGTTGTTTCTATTTTATTGGCACACATTCTTTCTCTCTTTGTTCTGACTCATAACAACCCTGTATAGGAGTTCCAAGGAGTGGCGAATGAGTTTGAACCGCCAAACTCCTAGTTCAGACTGACCTTTCAGTCCTGTACAGCGCCACACCAGAATCTCCCAGATAAATAGATTTCTCTGTGTGTGTATGTATATGATAGTGTTAGTCAGAAAGTGTTGCTACAAAATCATAGAAACCATTATTAAACAAAAATATAAAAATATGAAGCTATTGTTTCTTAGCATCTCCTTCCTCTAGGTATACACACTTTTAAGGTGGCGTTTCTGGCTCTGTGGGATAAGCACTGGACTTTGAACCACACGGACATTGGTTTGAGTCCATCAGCTGCTCTGAGGGAGAAAGATGAAGCTTTTTGCTTCCATAGAGATTTACAGCCTCAGGAACATATACAGAGTTGGAATCTACGCAACAGCACTTAAAAACAACCCTTCCCCAAAGAATTCTGTGCTCTTTGGTATATACCATGTCAGAGCTACAGTTATGGCACTTTTAAGGGACATAAATCATGTTCCTTTTAAATATTCTTTGAGTTGTGGGAACAACAAAAAAAAAACCTGAAGGGGCAAGGCCGGGGCTATAGAATGAATGGGATAAGGTGTCCCAACAAAATTCTCAAAGGACAGTCCTTGCTACCCTCAAAGAGTGGATAGATGTGTTGCTATGATATGGCAGGGGGATTCCTTGGTGCAACTTTACTGGCCCTTTTTTTATGAATACGGTTTTCAGATCTCTTCATACTTCTTCCTAATAAGCCCCCACAATGATCACTTTGATACCCCCAAAACCAATCCCATAAACTTCTGAGCTGACCTCTCTGCCTTGTATTGAACTGACCCAGTGGTTTGAAGGCATCCCAACAAGACTAAGATAAGTGTATTCCTGAAAGAACTTATCTGTAGCCATCCGAATAAACCTGTGTGTATATGAACTGAGACTTTAGTAATAATACTTTTTTCACTTTCATATATATGATGAAGGAACCCCGTTGCCGAAGTGTATAAGTCTACTCTCCAAAAGGTCTGCAGTTTGAATCTACCACCTGCTCCATGGGAATCTCTGTAAAGATAACAACAGCCTTGGTAACCCAGTGGAACTGTCCTATTCTGTGATATAGTGGTGGTGGTGGTGGTTGTGTGCCACCAAGTCGGTTCTGACTCATAGCAACCCTGTGTAGGGTTTCCGAGTCTGTACATTTTTACAGAGCAGAAAGCCTCATCTTTCTCCTATGGAGTG